GCAACAGACATAAATTTGAAATAAAAAACAAAAAGACATTTAGGATATCCACCGAGTATCTGGAAATTACACAATATAAGTCTAAATAGTCTGTGGTTCAAAGAAGAAATCACAAGGAAATTACAAAATATTTTGATCTGGCCGGGCGCGGTGGCTCAAGCCTGTAATCCCAGCACTTTGGGAGGCCGAGACAGGTGGATCACGAGGTCAGGAGATCGAGACCATCCTGGCTAACACGGTGAAACCCCATCTCTACTAAAAAATACAAAAAACTAGCCGGGCAAGGTGGCGGGTGCCTGTAGTCCCAGCCACTCAGGAGGCTGAGGCAGGAGAATGGCGTAAACCCGGGAGGTGGAGCTTGCAGTGAGCTGAGATCCGGCCACTGCACTCCAGCTTGGGCGACAGAGCAAGACTCCGTCTCAAAAAAAATTTTTTTTTTTTTTTTTAATCTGAGTGATAACTAAAACATCTTCTGTCAAAATTTGGGAGATGTAGTGAAGAAAGCACTCAGAGGGAAATTTTTAGCTTTAAATGTTCATACTAGAAAACAAATAAATGTTTAAAATCAATTAAGCTTCTACCATAGGAAACTAGAAAAAGAGGAGCAAATTAAAACCAAGGGAAGTAAAATAAAAGGAACAATAAAACTAAGAGTGGAAATCAATAGAAGGCAAACAATTGAGAAAACGATGGTAAATGTTGCTTTTTTGAAGAGATTAATAAATTCAGTAACCCCCTAGCAAGACTGATAATGGAAAAAAAAAGAGAAAATATAAATTACCAATATCAGGAATGAAACAGGGAAATCACTAGCGAACCCGTAAGCATTGAAGGCTAATAAAGGAATATTATGGAAGATTTTATTAAAAAGCCTGTAAGCATTAAAGGATGATAAAGGGATGTGATGGATGATTTTATGCCAACACATTAGATGGAATAACTTAGATGGAATCAAGCATGCCCTGGGTAACACAAATTACCAAAACGGGCACAAAGAGAGAGACAAAAATCTAAAGAACTCTATGTCTATTAAAAAATTAGATGTCATTTAAAAAAATCCTTCCCATAGAGTTCCTGTTCCACACGGCTTCACTGGATAATTCTACCAAAATATAAGGGGGAAAAATAGTCCCTATTCTAGACAAATTTAATTGATAAATAAAGGAAAATACTGTCCAAGCCACTTTACAAGACCAATGTAACCTTGCTATCAAAACCTGACAAATATATTACGAGAAAATAAGATGTCAACGAAACAGCACATCCGTAGAATAAAGAAACATAACTTTATGATCATCTCACTATAGGCAGAAAAGGTATTTGACAAAATACAACAGCTGTTGGCAACAAATACTCTCCGTAAACTAGGACAGGTGGGGACTTCCTGCCTCTGATAGCAGGGCAGCTGCAGAAGCCCGACTGTTGACGTCAGCCTGACGTAGACATTAAACACGTCTGCAAGGCGAGAAGGTGCACGCTCACCGCCGGGATTCAGCACTGTATTGTGGCCTACGCTGTGCAATGAAGCAAGAACAAATACATAAAAGGCAGAAGATGTAAAACCCTATTAGTCACAGAGAGTTTGACTATCTACTTAGATAATTCAAAGGAATCTACAAAGAAGCTACTAGACCTTGTGAATTTAGGAAGGTCAGAAGACACAAGACTAATATAGAAAAAAATGATAGTATATATTTAAAAATAAACAACTGGAAATGAAATTTTTCAAATGCCATTTATAACAGCATCAAAAATATCAAACACCTTGGAATAAATCTAACCAAAGATTTGTGCCCAAGTGCACTGTTTCTAGGAGGGTCCACTTGGAGGGAGAAGGGCCACTGGGGGCCAGGGACGCTGCCCGCTCCTGCCTCCTGGGCTGGGTCAGTGGCTTTCCTGTTCCTGGGTTACTGGCTTTCCTTGAAGAACCCCCCCCCCACTTTGCTGTACATTGAAAACTAGAAACATTGCTGAGAGTGATTTAAAAAGACTTAAATTTATGTTTATGAGATGGAATTTATACTTTATTTCCGTTTTCCTTAACTTGATACATAGATTTGGTGCAGTTCCTACCAAAATTTCAGCAAGCTTTTCTGAAGAAATAGACAACATGAGTCTAAAATGTACGCAGAAATTCAAAGGACGCCGAACACGAAAAACCTTTACAAAGGAGAAAAACATTGGAGGACTTGCTCTTAATTTCAAGACTTATTATAAAGCTACAATATTTGCAACAGCATGGGATTGACACAAGGATGCAATGAAACAGAAGAGAGAGGCTGCAAATAGACCCATGAATGTGTAGTCAACTGATTTTTTTTTTTTTTTTTTTTTGAGACGGAGTCTCGCTCTGTCGCCCAGGCTGGAGTGCAGTGGCCGGATCTCAGCTCACTGCAAGCTCCGCCTCCCGGGTTCACGCCATTCTCCTGCCTCAGCCTCCCGAGTAGCTGGGACTACAGGCGCCCGCCACCTCGCCCGGCTAGTTTTTTGTATTTTTTAGTAGAGACGGGGTTTCACCATGTTAGCAAGGATGGTCTCGATCTCCTGACCTCGTGATCCGCCCGTCTCGGCCTCCCAAAGTGCTGGGATTACAGGCTTGAGCCACCGCGCCCGGCCAGTCAACTGATTTTTAACAAAGCTGTCAAGTCAGCTCAATGGGGAAAGGAAAAGTCTGTTTAACAAATGTCACTGGAACTGGGATATCAGTGTGGATAAAAATGAACCTTGACCCCCTTTCTACCCTGTGCGCAAAATTAATATGAGGCGTATCATAGACCTAAACACAAAAGCTGACACTGTAAAATTTCTAGAAGAAAAATGGGAAGATATCATCATGACCTCAAAGTAGGCAAAGGTTTTTAGACAAGATACAGACAGCTCAGACCACAGAAGAAAACTCATTCATAAATACGACTTCTCCAAAACTGAAAATACCTGCTCTTTGAAAGACACAATTAAGAAAATGAATAGGTAAGCTGGGTGTGGGGGCTCACGCCTGTAATTCCAGCACTTTGGGAGGCTGAGGTGAGTGGATCACTTGAAGTCAGGAGTTTGAGACCAGCCTGGCCAACATGGCAAAACCCCGTCTCTACAAAAAAATACAAAAATTAGCCGGGTGTGGTGGTGTGTGCCTGTTATCCCAGCTACAAGGGAGGCTGAGGCAGGAGAATCTCTTGAACCTGGGAGGTGGAGGTTGCAGTGAACCGAGATCATGCCACTGCCCTTCAGCCTGGACACAGTGAGGCTCTGTCTCAAAAAAACAAAAAACAAAAAACAAAAAAAAAACAAAAAATGAACAGGTAAGCCACAGAGTGGGAGAAATTGCACATGCCACACATATCTGATAGTATCTAGAATATGTTTCAAAATGATCACACATTGACAATAAAAAGATAAAAATCCAAATATGAACAAAATATCTGAACTGACACTTTTCAGAAGATCTACAAACGGCCGATAGCACATGAGAAGTTGCTCAACATCAATACATCAATAGGCATCAGGGAAATGCAAACTAAAACCAAATCAGACCCGATTTTACACCCCCCAGCAAACAAGGACAACGCCGGTGTGGGTGAGGACGAGGAGCACCCCGGATGCTCGTGCGCAGCTGCCGGAATGAAGCATGGAAGAACCACTTCGGACAATTTCGTGGCAGTCTCGTATGAGGTTAAGCCCATTGTACGACCCTGCAATTCCACTCCTAGTTATTTATCCAAGAAAAATGAAAATATACGGCCACGTGAAGACCTGAATAAGAGTTTCACTACCGCCGTATTCATAACAACCCCAAAATAGAAATAACCCAGATGCTCAGCTATGGTGATGAACCAACAAATCGTGATGTGTCCACACCATGGGACGACACTCAGCAACAGACACACCGGCGCCCACGACGGCACGTCCATACCACGGGAGGACACTCAGCAACAGACACACCGGCGCCCACGACGGCACGTCCATACCACGGGAGGACACTCAGCAACAGACACACCGGCGCCCACGACGGCACGTCCAACATCAGCCCACGGACGGCACGTCCAACGGACCACTCAGCAACAGACACCGCGCCACACGCACTCCATACCAGGGGGACACTCAGCAACAGACACACCGGCGCCCACGACGGCACGTCCATACCAGGGGATGACACTCAGCAACAGACACACCGGCGCCCACAATGGCACATGTGAATGTCAAAAACTGTAAGTGAAAGAAGCTGGCACAGTGGAGGACCTGCCATGTGTTCCCCTGACCACGAAATTTAACTATGGCCAGGCACGGCAGCTCATGCATGTAATCCCAGCACTTTGGGAGGCCGAGGCAGGTGGATCACTTGAGGTCAGGAGTTCGATGGAGACCAGCCTGGCCAACATGGTGAAACCCCATCTGTACTAAATAATACAAAAATTAGCTGGGCATGGTGGTGCGTGCCTGTCGTCCCAGCTAGTCCAGAGGCTGAGGTAGGAGAATCGCTTGAACCTGGGAGGCGGAGGTTGTAGTGAGCTGAGATCGTGCCACTGCACTCCAGCCTGGGCGACAAGAGTGAAACTCTGTCTCAAAGCAAATAAATAAATAAATAAATAAATAAATAAATAAATAAATAAATTCAAATATGCCAGGCTGATCTATGGCCACAGAGGCCAGGCAGTCCAGGGGTGGGCACTGGCTGGATGGGAGCATAGGGGGCCTTCCATTGGAGGCTTCCACGTGTCATGGGCTCAGGTCCTGGCTGTGTGCTCTGGAGCACGCAGGTGCCCTTGTCCGTGAGAGGGGTCTCCAACCAGCCCTGTGGGCCGTGTGGGTTCGCCTGGAGGTGGTGCGTGAGGACGTTTGGGGGTGTGACATCTGGGGCTAGAGTGTGGTGGCAGCACCCCCTCCAGGAGAGGACCTGCCCTGTGGGCTCCAGGATGAGGAGTGTCCCCCTAAAGTCCACAATCAGGCAGCTCAAAGAGCAGAGATGCTCTCCTGTCAGACTCTTTCACAGACCATCCCACACAGTGAGAAGAGGTGGCCAGGCCTTTTATTAAACATTCCCGGGAGGCTCACGGCCGGGGAACTGCCGCTCATTTGGAAGGCACTGGGTCCTGCGCCCAAGTGGACTGTTTCCAGGAGGTGCCACTGGAGGGAAAAGGGCTGCCTGGTTCTGCCTCCCGGGCTGGGTCCGTGGCTTTCCTGTCCCCAGGCCTGGGGGACCTTGCAGGGTCTGCTTGCTCCTGATCCTCCTGATCCCTCGGGGTGGGCATGGGCCGGGTGTGTGCCAGCAGGCAGGTCACAGCTTGTTCTTGGGGCAGTGCTGCAAGGCCGCCCCCAGGGCCTCCGTCACGCGGTCCACATTCTCGCGGGTGGCATTGCAGCCCAGCAGGCCGATCCGCAGCACCTGGGGGGCACGGGCCAGGCCGACGTCAGCCTCCCGCCTGGGACCCACCTGACCCTGACCAACGGCTGGCCAGAGCCAGGATGGGCTCTCCTGAGCGAGGACCACCCATCCAGTGTCCATGAGGGGAGCTGAGAGCCCCGTACAGGTTGCAGAGGAGGCCCCCAAACACCCAGGCCAGGTCAGGCTCTCCTCCCTCTGCACCCGCAGCCATACGGGAGGGCAGGGTGGTGCAGTGAAGGCCCCTCCCACTGCCGCTCAGAGACACAGCTGGGCCCAGGCATGGGGCTTCCCGCCTGGTTCCAGGGTCTGCTCAGAGGGAAGGAAAGACGTTCTGAGTGGAATCATAAAGGCTGCACCCGGTGACCTCAGCAGGCTGGGGTGGGAGCAGGGGAGACAGCACACACTTTACTGGATACCCCTTGGAGAGCGGACCCTTCTGGATGCTCCTCGGTCTGGGCTCTTGGATGACCCCGGCCTCCCCCGGACCTGGTGCACAGTCCTGCTCAAGGAGGGGTGGTGGGTTTGGTTCTGCAAAAGACCCTCGAGGCGCTGCCTCTCACCTTCCCTGCGGAGGGCCCGAGGCCGCCCATGATCTCAATGTCGAAATGGTCCAAGACGTAGCTGACGATGTCTCGCCAGTCATAGCCAGCGGGCACAACTACGGTAGTGACCATGGGCAGCCGGAGCGCCTGCAGGAGGGGCCTGGCTCAGTGAGCGGGTGAGAGGCCCTACACGGGCCTTCGTGACAGCTCTTGGCTGGGGCCATCTGCCCTGGTTTCAGGTTACAGAGGAGCCGGGGGAGAAAGGGCTGGGGAAGAGCAGGGTCCCCACCCTTCAGGAGGCAGTGGATGGGCAACTTCCTACTGGGAGATCACAGGCCGTCCTGAGATCTGGCATCAGAGGCCGGGAGCTGTGACTTCATGGCTCCTGCCGATACTGCTCCCTGGACCCGGGGCCACACCACCCGGCAGCCGCCCCCTCTTCTCAGGAGCCAGTGTCCCTCCTGAGGGAGCTGGGCAGGAGCCCCTCATCCTTCCCCATGGGTGCAGGGCTGCCCACTGCCAGGGGCCTCCTTACTGGGTCCTTCACAAAGAGCTGCAACCCCAGTGCCTGCAGGCGCCCATGCAGATACGCTGTGGTCTCGCGGTGCTGGCGCCAGCTGTTCTCCAGGCCCTGAGTGGGAGATGGCACCGGTGGGCAGTGGCATGGGTGGGGTGGGCAGGAAGCCCCGCCCTCGGTGGTGCAGGAGGAAAAACCTGACTGCGGGCCTTGGTGCAGGGGAGCCCCTGGAGCTCCCAGTTTGGCTTTGCCCAGGAGCAGGCCCAGGACTATCCCAGGCAGGAGGAAACATCTGGGCCTGGGAGAGACAGAGGAGGGGTCTGCGAGAGACGGGGTGGGGGGTCTGCCTGTGGCCCAGGAGGAAAGGAGGGGAGAACGCCTTGCAGAGGGGAGGGGGTTGAGCAGGGAGGGGAAGGGTTGTTGGGCTACACAGGGCTGGGGTGGATCAGGGCCAGGGCTCAGGCTGCTGGCTTCCGGGCCCCCTGTCCTCTCATGGCTGGCTCTCTGACCTGGCATCCTCCCCAGAACTGCTCCTGTCTCAGCTCTGGACAGGTGAGGGGTGGTCTTCCCAGCCCTGGGCCTCTCAGTGTCATCACCTCGGGTCCTCCCGGTCTCCAGCCACCAGCTCCCATGGCCACCCCAGGTGGGTGCCCCGGGGCAGCAGCTGCTCTCTACTCTGGCCCTGGCCTGTCTTCCCTGTACACGTGCCCCTGCAATCCTCACTCTGCCAGGTCCCCACGCCTCCACCCTTGACTGTGCCCTGGTCCTGTTCTCTCCCTTCCCCCCACGACTCACAACCCCCACCCACCTTTACGACCCTAGAGCCTCTCCCTGTGTGAGCGCCTGACCCTTCGCCTTCCCCCAGGGGTGCGGGTGGCATCCAGCTTACGGGGGTACCCTGGCACTAACCCAGCCCTAGGCAGTGGCTTTATGAGTGGACCCAGGAGAACAAACATGGCAGGCACGGCCTTGCAACCTCACGGGAAGCTGGCTGCAGCCTGGGGACCCTTCCTGGACTCTGGACTGGTGGCTGGCAATGGGCCCTGTGGGACACAGGACAAACCTGCAGGAGCTTCCAGCCCCTCACTTTACATCCACGCCCACCTATCTGCAGGCTGCATGTCTCTGGCCCTTCGGCGGCCTCCCCTTCTCCCAGCCCTCCACTCACCGGGCCTCACTTACTGCTTCACACGGCAGTGGAACGGTTGGGAGCGTCCACACTTGCCCCATTGCTGCATCTGTCCCTGGGGCTGCGTCCTCCCGGCCCTGCCCACAGCCAGTGTGCCCGGGGCCTGTCCTCTCTCCCCCACCCCCACTGAGGGCCTCTCTCTGGCAGGCTCCCTTCTCTCTGTGCACCAGGAATGGTTCCTTCTCTGCAGGCCGTGCCCTCGACAATCCAGCCAGTGGCCCTGTCTCCTCCTGTGGAGTGCAGCCCACGCACCTGTTCCGCAATGAGGGCCAGGCTCTCTCTCAGGCTGTACAGGCTGATGACGGGGATCGTGTGATGGTACCTGGAAGATACGAGGGGGCTTGGTCCAGCACCACGGGCAGGTTTGGGGGCAGATGGGGCATTAGCTCTGTCTGCCCCAGCCCCAACAGCACAGGCTGTCTGAGCACAGGCCGGTATCCGCCACAGGAGTCTTGTCTGGGTTCAGAACTTTGGACCGGGAAGGCAGCTTCATCTGCCGGGGAGAGCATGGCTCCATGTGGGGCCCGGCCAGGATGCGGTGGGTGGTACAGGAGCAGAGACACACACCACCACCACCCTGCTGAGCCCCTCAGCCCCAGCGTGCCCACGAAGCCAGCACTGGCCCTCTGTGCCCACTGGGCTAGGGCAGCATTCCTGGAGCCTTGTCCCTGTGTGTAACATAAGGGGCCTTGGGTTTATGGCCAAGATTATCTTTTGAAAGGGGATAAACTGAGGCCCAGGAGTGGGGAGATATGGCAGGGCCAGGTCCAAAGTGCCCGAGGATGTGCTGGGACCTCTGAGCGGGGGGACAGAGTTTGTGGAAGAGGCAGTGGGGGCCAAGCCCCTGCCCAGAGCCTCGGGCCAGTCGAGGGATGGGGAAACCCAGGGTGGGGCATGCCGACCGCCCGATGCAGGTGAGTTCTGGGACTCTGATTGGGGTTCTTGTGGCATGAAGGTGGGGGGCTCAGAGAATCCCTGAGTGCAGTGAAAGGTCAGCGTCCCCCCAGCCAGCCATGCCCAGCACCCCCCACACCTTCCCGTCCCTGCCGGGCCTCACATCCTGGGCTGGCCGTCACAACCCCAGAAGTTGGCCAGCCACTTGATGTCCAGGTAGAAGGAGAAGGGCTTCGTCTTGCGGGAGTACATCTTCTTTCTGGGGAGGAAAAGCAGCCTGAGCACCGGCCCCTCAGTTTGGGCTGAAGGTAGGAGCAGTCTTGCTGGCTGTCCTGTTTCACAGGAGTGAGACGGGGTGGGGCCCCCAAGAGGGCCTGCCCCAGCTGCATTTATACTCAGGGGCCAATGTGGGACCGGGCAGGTCCTGGGTCCCTCAGCTGTCCAGTACCGCTGGCCCTTGGGCCCAGCCTGCACCTCTGCCCATGTGGGTGTGACCCTGCCATGGGGGCACTGAGGCCAGCTCCCTCCATTCTGTGTGCCCCTTTCTCTCCCCCAGCCCTTCCTACAGGGTCAGCCTTCATTTCTCACATCATCCAAAGGTGACTGCTTTCGGGCCCCAGGGCACACTGGCCAGGCTTAAAACTTTAAATGTGTCCGTCTCTACAACTCCAAGTTGGTGGGCCAGCCCCGGTCTCTCCCCAGGCTCCTGACTCACACCCAGCCGCCTCCTTCACCCTCCCCTGTGATCCAACGGGCATCTCAGACCTCCCACGTCCAACACCGAATTCCTGACTTCACCCCAAAGTCCTCTCTGTTCTGGGGAATGGCACCTCCAGTTGCCAGGCTGCAGCTGGATGTGAACCGCCTGTGAGGCCTGGCCCTCTTCCCCCACCCCTGGCTCGGAATCTGGACACCAGGAGCGGGAGGTGAGATTGGGACTGCAGGGGGCACCATGTGTGGCCCACGTTGTGCCTTGGGGCAGCCCCTGGAAGCCAAGCCAGGGTGGGTCGGGGTGCTGGGCCCCAGGCCCTCAGTTCTTTCCTGGCCACTCCTTGGTGTGAAGCTGGGAACTTCCAGAGCAGCGGACTCTGCACCCTGCACATGCCCACGGCCCTCCCCTTGCCTGGCCTCCCCACTCCCCGTGAACGCAGTGCCTTTGGCCTCCCGGAGGGTGGGCAGGAGAGCGCCAGGTGCTGGAGGAGCCTGGGGAGCCCTTCCAGCCTGGCTCCCGCCCCTCCTGCCTCGGGCCACCTGAGCTCCCTGCGAGCCCAGCCCTGCACAGAGGTGAGGGTCTGTGGGTCACTCACTTGGCCTTGTCACTGAAGGAGATGAACGAGGTCCCTGGGGGGGCGTTCAGGACCTTCTGGGAGCCCGAGTACAGGATGTCGATGCCTGTAGATGGGTGGTTTGTTTGGGACGGGGGAGCCCCACCACAGGGCAGGCCGGTCCAGCGGGGTGCCTGCCTAGCTAATGGGCTGGTGGGCTACGACCCCACAAGAATCCGTACACGATGGGAGGGGAGACATGGAAGGGAATCCTGGGTTCGAATCTCAGCACTGTTGCGTGGCAGCCATGACCTCAGGCCTGAGCCTTTTAGCGCAGCTTCTCCCTCCGCTGTGCGAATGGTCCCCAGGGACAGCCCTGCCGCCCCTGGCCCCGTGTCCTCGGGTCCCTCCCCAGGTCCCTGCTTTCAGTAGTAGTTTGAGGATCAGCCCAAAAATCCCTCCCTTCCTGCCTGAGATCTCCCAAATCAGGAGGGGCTCTGCAGAAACAGAGAGGCTCCCATGGAGTGGGTGGGCAGGCACCGCAGTGGGCGCAGGGTGCAGGCTCTCCCTCGTAAACGTGCTGATGGGCACAGGAGGCGCCTTGGTCCCCTCGGCCGGCCTGGGTGAGCTTCCCTGCGAGGTGACCCTGTGCAGTGGTGCTCACTGCTGTGGGCAGCCTGGCGGGGTGCAGGGCGGATGTGAAACTGAGCCTCTGGGGGTTCGGCAGAGGGGTCCCCTACACCTGATCGACTGGAGCCCTGGCCACTGCTTCTACTACAGCTCTGGGGCCTCTCAAATGTCCCCCACCAGCTGTCCCTCCCGCCAGTCCCCATGCCTGGATCTGAAAGCTCAGTGGAAACACTGGGGTGCCGGGTAGTTCATGGAGCCGCTCTTGCCCCAGTAAGGAGTGAGTGTTTCCCTGGGCCGGGTGGAGATGAGGCCGAATCCGCAGTGTTGGCTGCCGGATGCGCACTTCCAGCAGGGCTTCCTGCACCCGGAGCCCCTGGCTGCTCCGGCTGGGTAGGACCCTCAGAGCACACCCTTACCTTGCTGGTCCATGTAGAGAGGGGTCCCACCCAGGGATACCACCGAATCCACCAGGAGCAGGCACTTGTACCTAGAGAGATGGGGGATGGAACGGAGGGCCGCAGGTGAGGCAGGGGGCCGCTGGAGGGCTTGGGCCCCAGCCTGGATGGGGTTTCTGAGCCTCAGGCTGGCAAGGAAGGGGGGGTGCCTCCCACCTGTGCCCCAGGAGTTGGCCAGTTGCCTTCTCCTGCCTGTCAGGATCCGTCAGGACCTGTGGCTCTTTCTTTTGCAGCCCTGATCATTGGAGCAGAAGGAGCTGGGGGAGTGAGGGAGCATCATGGCCCTGGTGGGACCCAGCTGCAGGGCCCTGCAGTGGTGCCGAAGAGGGTCAGCCGGGCAGTCTGTGGTTCCCCAGGGACAGCAGGCGCATGAGGGCCTGTGTGGACCCCAGGGACCACGGTGGCACCAAGCTGGGCCTCCCTCTGCCAACAGCTGCTCGGCCCAGCCACTGGCCAGAGTCCAGGGCCGGAGGGGACAGAGTCCCGGAACAGCACAAACAGCAGCACCTCAAACTCTCACCCTCCGAACTCTCACCCTCCGAACTCTCACCCTCCGAACTCTCACCCTCTGAACTCTCGCCCTCTGAACTCTCACCCTCCGAACTCTCGCCCTCTGAACTCTCACCCTCGTCCACCTCCATATTTTCTTGTAAAGAAAAGAAAGATACAGAAAGTATCTCGTGCTGGCTGCAGGTGGGGACGGCCTGGGTGTTGCTGAAGCCGGCCAGGTTATGTTTGTGAGCTTTATTCATGGCCACGGTCCATGTAGCAAGCTGTCCGGGCTGGGGGCCCTGCTGAAGGATCCTCCCTGGCCGTGGAGTTTCTCTCCTCTGTCCTGTGCTCAGACCTGCCGACGGGACTGCTAGGTCCCAAGGGGCTCTGTCCCCATTTCTCAGGAATCCCGTCTGACTCCATTCAAGGCCCTGCCCTGTGCACCCCCATGCGGGGGTAAGGGAGGCTGGAGGAGGGAAGCGGAGGGCATCAGGGAGCTTTAGTGCCCTTGCAATCTCGGGGCGAGGTGGGGACAGGCCCTGGCAAGATATGGAGGTCTGTGCCAAGCCCTCTTCAGTCATGGGGACAGAGGTCAGTGGGCACCGTGGGGGTGCTTGGCCAGGGAGCACCTGAGCCTGCCCCGGGGCCTGGGATTGTCTTTAGACTCAGCCCAGAGCAAAGAGGACCTGAGAGGTGCTTGCACCCCACACCATGTGACAGAGGCCAAGGTGGGGACCAGGGGCAGAAGCGCCAGAGGGACCAGTACCCACCCCTCCCCACAGCCTGGCTCTGAGCTGTGCTCTGGCCCACCGCCCTGGGGCCAGGTTCACCTGTGGCAGAGTTCCCCAAAACCGTCAAGGGGCTGCAGCACGCCGGTGGACGACTCCCCGTGGGTCAAGAACAGCAGCACCGGCTTGTGCTGGGCCAGGCCCTGGGGAGGCAGGGATGGCTGCAGGCGAAGCTCAGAGGGGCAGGGGCCAGGAACCCCCCAACAAACCCCCCATGGGTGGCCCAGCTCCAGGCAGCAGGGGCTGGGTGTGCCTCAACCCCTCCCTGACGGTGTGCATGCGAGGCGGAGGCGGGGGCATCTCCGATTTGGGAGGAGGGCTTTTCCGAGAACAGGACTTTTGCGCAGAGGTGGAGGAAGGGTGGCCCCAGCCTGCTGCCTGGCCTGTGAGGGCTGTTGCTAGATGGACGGAGTCCCCCACACTTCAGGTAGGTTGAGGCTGACTTCAGCCCACAGGGTGGAGTATCCTGAGTGTCAGGGACATGCTCTGCAGCCCTGACCACAACCCTGTCTCCTGCCTCCAGCCCCTCTGACCCTGCCCACAGGACCAAGCTCCTGACTCAGTTTCCCTGCCAGACAGAAGCCTCCCTACCAGTCTTCCCATCATTCCCAGGTAATGGAGCCCTCCCCTGTGGCCACTCAGGAGATGCTAGGATGGGCTGAGGGCCAGCCATGGGCCCCAGCCTCCCGGCTCTGATCCCACCCCACTGGCTGGTCACTGCCAGGCAGCCCATGAGCCAGCATGCCCCCCAACCTCCTTCCAGACCTGACCCCCACCCTGGGTCCCCCTACCTCCTCCACCTCCTGCAGTGTGTAGTGGCCTCCAGGGTCCTTGGTCATTGGGTGCACTCGGGCTCCTGGGTGCAGGACAGAGTGGGCCGTGAGTGTCCCGCACACACTGTAGAAGCCAGCGTTGGGCACCCGTGGCCCTGCTGAGCAGGGGGGCCCTGTGAGGGCTGGACCCCACCCTGGCTGCCTGAAGAGGAGGGTGTTCTCTGCCCAGTGAGAGCCTCTCTGTGTGTAGAGCCAGGGCCGTCTTGACCCCCCGACTGTTGGAGCCAAGGCTCCTGGGGTGCCCTTGACAGAGCTCAGCTCAAACACCCTTTCTCAGGCCACACTGGCCAGTGTCTCCCCAAGCAGAGTGAGCTCCTGGGGGTCGGGGCCGCACCTGGCCCAGGGCTGGCACAAGGAGTGCACCTGACCCAGGGCTGGCACACCACTGGTGTGGTGGATGACAGAGCGAAGGATGAGGGGTGAGCGAGGCAGCAGTCTGGCCCTCTGTTGGAGCTGGGACTCCAGGAATCAGGCCCTCGTCCCCTCCTTCTCTCTGCCCCTATCCTGCGTGCTGCTCGTGGCCAGGGTTGTGGGAGGGGAAGAACTTGCAGCCGAGGGTACAGAATGGGGACAGGGGAGGCCATATACCGCAGGCATCTGAGCCTGAGTGCCCTGATGACCACTTGGGGTCCTGGCCTCTGCTGACCCTGGGTCCCCTTGAAAAGTTTGTGGACTTTGGATTGGGACCGTCTTGGCTGTGGCAGTTGGTTGAGTATTAACCAGCGTAGCCACTGTGGAGCTGGCCAAGCTGATGTCCCTCAATGCCACAATCAAGCACTAACCCCAGGGCACACTCCTGCTCCTGTCTGTCTCCCAGAAAAGTGTACTCCGGAGGCACATGCTCTGTCCATACCTCCATATTTTGTGGATCACATCAAGGTTCCAGAAAGGGGGGCTGCTGAGATTTGAGGGGAGGCTTCAGCTTCTGAAACCCCACCCTGTCACAGAGCAGAGCTGGTGCCTGGGGCCCTGGACAGTGGCTGGGGTTCTCAGGAGTGTGTGCTGGGACCAGAGGCTTCCCTGCAGTGCCATCCCCCACGAGCTCCAGAAACAGCTCGAGGAGACTGGAGGGATCGGAGCACCTGTGCTGCTCTCAGCCCTATCAGAGTCAGGTCCCACGAGTGCCCTGACACCACCTGGAGGAGGCAGCGGGCTGAGAGAAGGAACGTGCGTGCAGGGCCACAGCGTGGGTAAGCGCTCACCCGGGGACAGGGCCGCCAGCTTCAAACAGAGGGAGACCAGGGAGGCCTTGAAGGATGGAGCCAGGGCCATCCCCACCTGGCTCTCTCCCTTACCCATGCGCTCCCCGATGTCCATGGCTCGCTGCCCCCAAATGCCATTGACCCCGACCAGGAAGGAGTCCCCAGGCTCCAGCACATTGACCAGGGCGGCCTCCAGGGCACAGTGTCCGGAGCCAGTGATGACCAGTGTGAGCGGGTTCCTGGTCTGGAACACGTACTGGATGCCTTCCTTGATCTCGTCCATGATCTGCGTGCATGTGGGAACAGGGTGAGACCCAGGCTCCTTGCCCCTCCCCGTCCGTGATCTGCGTGTGGCTGGGTAGAGGGTGAGACCCAGGCTCCTTGCCCCCCTGTCCGTGATCTGCGGGTGGGAACAGTGTGAGACCCAGGTTTCCGGTCCCCCCTCGTCTGTGATCTGTGGGTGGATACAGGGTCAGACCCAGGCCCCCGCGAGTGAGGAGACAGTGACCCCTCCCCTCGTCTGTGATCTGCGGGTGGGAACACAGGTGAGACCCAGGCCCCCGAGTGGCCCCCCGCTCCTACCTGGTACATCTCCTTGTCCATTGGCCCGATGATCTGCATTCCTCCGGCCGACATGATGCGAGGAGGCAGGTTGGAGGGACCGGGCCCCAGCAGGAGCCGCTTGGGGATGGAGAGGGGCTTGAGCAGGGCCTTGGGCGGGGGCACCAGCAGCTTGTGAGAGGCCATGGTCTGCACCCAACCTGCCGCTTGGGGACCTGGGGCTGCACTGGACTTGGCCAGAGCCTGGAACATTTCCCGGTAGGCTGGGCACAGAGGTGAGAGGTGAGGATTGGTGGACAGGCTTCCGCGGCAGCCCTGCCTTTTGCTTTTGTTCCCTGAGCCTTATCTGTGCTTGTCCTGCGGGTCAGGGCCAGGCAGCAGGGGACTGAGCCCTCAGGCAGAGGGAGCCTCCAGGGCTGAGTGACAGAAATTGAGGAGAGCAAAGATCACCTGGTGGCCATCAGGCAGGCCCTGGGGGCTGTCGGGGGAACCTCTGTATTTGGGAAAGGTAGAAGTAATTAGACTTCTCTATTATCTAAAGTCGGCACCTGGTTCCAGGCCTCCTTTCAACCTAAAACGTATACATAACTAGAATTTCTCTACATCTCTGGAACGCGGCACGCCGAAACTCACTGTGCAACCCCTGCCTTGCATGTGTCTGTGCACTGTGCAGGTTTGTTTGCTAAGTTGAGCCTGTAAACCAAAAAGTACCTGAAACGGGTCTCAATTAGTTTAGAAAGTTTTTGTTGCCAAGGCTAAGGACGCACCCGCGCCACAGCCCCAGGAGGGAGGACATCCTTGCCAAGCTCAAGGGTGCACCCCTGACCACAAGTGCCCAAGGTGATGGGGGCACAGCTTGCTTTTATACATTTTAGGAAGACATGAGCATCGATCGAATGTTGGTTCCGTCTGGAAGGCTGGGACAGCTCGAATTGGGGGCTTCCAGGTCATAGGGAGACTTAAACATGTTCTGACTGTCAACTGATTGAAGAGTTCGGATCAGCAGAAAGGGGTGTCTGGGTTATGAAATAGAGGCTGTGGAGAGCAGGCGGCGCCTCCAGGCAGTGGGCTTTAGAGAGAAAATAGACGGTAAACGCTTCCTATCAGACTTAAGGCCTGCGTCGATGTTAATGCTGGCGGGGGATGCTGTGGCATGGCCCGAACGTCTTCCAGGTTAAAGTTTAGAGTGCCATGGCGGACAGGGAAGCCCATTCAGATGGCTGCCGGGAGGTCTTCGAATTTTATTTTTGGTTTACAAGCCTTCCCATCAGCTGCACCAGGGTCAGCAAACTGCAGTCCATGGGCCCAGTCTGGCCTGCCACCTGCTTTTTATAAATAAAGTTTTATGGGAACACGCCCACACCACTGGCAGCTGCTTTGCAAGCACAAGGCAGGGTTGAGTTGTTGCAACATAGGCCACAGGGCCTGCCAAGCCTCGATGATCTGTGCTCCCACCCTCTAAGAAACACTTCTCCGACCCCTGAGCTAAGCAGGATCAGGCTGGATGTGCAGGACTCAATTTCCCTCTGACAACTATCTTGGTGAAATCTCTGACCCTTCCTTTTCCGCCATGCTCATGTCCACCTGCTTCCTGTTGGGGTCTCGAGAAAGGGGAACTGGCACAGTGAAGAGGGGTGTCCAGTGCGCCTGGCTACTTCCTGCTGAGAGGGAGTTCGGGGGACAGGTCGCGGTTTTCCTTTCTTGCTCTCGGTCGTGAAGGGAATAAAGGGTCATGAAAGCTTGTGCACGGAGGCGCGTGACGGGATTCCATCAGGAAGCCCCGTGTAAATCGAGCTGCCGTTGCAGGCCGGTGTTGGGACTGCATAGCCGTCTGCAGGTGGAATTGTTGTCATCTGGAACATAGAGACTTAACGAGAGCGTTAAAAAAAGGCAGGGACCAAATATTAAAAGAAAAATCGCCGAAGATAAAGGTCTGAGGAACGGGAGAAGCCGAGGGGTTTTTTGAAAACCAGTCAGGAAAAGTTTGGGCCCAGTCTTGGTTACTTTGGGAAAGTGTGTGTAGCCATTCGGCTTGTTTGAAGATTTCTCGGGCATCAGTTTCCACTTCTCCAGACACATCAATGTAGGTGCAACAGGTCCTGTTGCTGACAGCACGGACCCCTCCTTGTTCAGCCAGGAGGTGATCCAGAACTCACCTGTTACCAAGCACCGAGCTCCTGCTGGCGAGTCTAACGACTCGTAGAGCTGACAGACGGGTGCCAGCGTTTGCTACTTCAAGGGAGGCGGTAGGTTCTCGTAGTTGTGATTTCCCGGTAAGTAAAACCTCCCCAAGGGGTAAGAGTTGTGATAGTTCCCACAACTCCCGTCACAATAAGTCCCAGGGCCCTTTTCCTTCTCAATAGAATTCTGAATTGGAAGTGATGCTCAAGGCAGTGACTTGGGTGGGAGCTGTTGTTCCCAGACTCCAATCACCACAGTGAAGAGAATGATCAAGGTGGGATAGGGCCGAAGCTGGAAAAGGGTTTCACCATGTTGCCCAGGCTGGTCTCGAACTCTTGACCTCAAGTGATCCGTCTGCCTCGGCCTCCCAAAGTGCTGGGATTATAGGTGTGAACCACTGTGTCGGGCCTAAGATAAGATCTTTATAAGTGCTAGAGAGGCTCTTTGTGCTGGGAGTTAAGATAAGGCCCCAAAATTGAACACCTTGTGTGGATATTTGTACCTTAGAAGGAGATACTTTGTACCTATAATCAGCAAGTTTGTTTAGTACTAATACTGTGTTTTGGTCTGGAGCAGCTTTGCTAGGACTACAGATTATAGGTCATCTACATACTGGAGTAGATTGCCATCTGGGTGAAGTTGCAGTGTGGACAGGTCTTTAACTAGGGCCTGTCTAAAAAGGCGGGAGCTATCTCTGAATCCCTGGGGCAGAACTGTCCAAGTCAACTCTTGAGTTATTTGAGTATCTGGGTCTTGCCGTTCAAAAGCAAACAAATATTTGCTATCTAAGCGTACAGGAATGCAGAAAAACACATTCCTAAGATCAAGAACTGTAAAACAAGCTGTGGTGGAGGGAATCTGTCCAACAAGGGTGCAAGGGTTTGGGACAACAGGATGAATAGGAATAACAGCTTCGGTAATGACTCTAAGGTGGGAACCATCTGGTTTCTTTACAGCTAAAACAGGAGTGTTGTAAGGCGAGCTGCATGGGTACACTCATCCACGGGTTAGACGTTTTTGTTATTAGAGGTTTTAGCCCTTTTCATGCTTCTGGTTTCAAGGGGTATTGGGGGGTTCTGGGGAACTTACTGGGATTTTTAAGCTGAATGACAATAGGAGCAGCTGATATTGAACGGCCAGGAATAGAAGCTTTCCAAACCTCAAATGGCACTGGTTTTAGAATGTGAGGTTCTATAGATTGTAGCAGCTCTGTTGGTGATGTGTGAGTGAAAACAGCTAGAAGGTGAAGCCTTAGCTACAAATCAGCTTGTAATTTTGTGAGTAAGTCATGCCCTAATAATGGAACAGGGCAGTTCGGCGGGACTGAAAAGGAGTGGGTAAAGGAATAGCCTTCCATTTTACAAGGGAGTGGTGGTGTGAAACAGCCTCATTGGGGTTTTCCATCCACACCTGTGAGGAAAATGAAGGACTAGCACGTTGGGCCACAGTAAATGTTTGAAGCTGAATAACTGGCCCCTGTATCTCCGAGGAACGCTGCCTCTTGTTCAGCCTCAATCAGATTTCCCCAGGGCTCCTCCATAGAGAGAAAGGTTAGGGCCACACAGTCCCATCAGTCATCTGGAGAATGACTTTCAGAGGCTTGGAGAGAGTGAGGGTGCCCGTCCTTGCCCTCATCCTAGTCCTTGTTCTGCAGGACTCCCTTGTTGGGTAGGTTGGCAAGGCTGTGGCTGTGATGGCCCAGAAGGAAGAGGTGTCCCACGCCCTGTCATGGGGGAGAGAGGGAAATGCACTCTTCCAACGACCCTCTTGTTTGCAGTGAGGACAGGGTCCTGGGGGCAGCTTGTAACCCAGAGGTTTGGGATCCTCTGTACTCCAGTGTCCTAGATTCCTGAAATAATGACAGGCCCCTGTTCTGCTAGTGTTATAGGGACAAGCCTTGGGGTCAGTAGCAAATGAAAAGAATGTGCCAATGCTGTTGCCGTGTCAGCAGCTTGACCCTGCCATTTTTCCTCCTCCAACTGAGCCTTGGCCCTCAGGGGTTCTGGGGTCTAAATTGGTGTATTTATGCATGGCCTACACCAGCCTAGTTTGGAAAAGGGCAGGGGTTCTCAGGTGGCTCCTGAGTGATTTCTCGTAATTTAGAAAAATTAACAGGGTTTATTAGATCTTTTTTCATTTCTTCCAACAAGTAAGTTATAATCTCATCCGCCCCTGCCTCTGTCTGGACCACCTCAGCAGCCTGGTATTGCCAGTGGGCTCTGTGTTGGGGACAGATTTTTCCCAGCTCTCTTATCATTAGGGTTATGAGCATGAGCTTTATCTGCCCCAGCTTGAGCTAAAGACCACATGTGTGATTTTTATTCATGGGAACAGCAAGTAGTTAACACCACGAATATGTCTTACCAGATTAAATCAAAGACAATAACTAAAGCTCGAAATTCTTGAATGAACTTAGTGGGATCCTAGCTAAGTGAACCCAGTGTGGATTTGAGAAAGATCAGACATTGGAAAAGGGACATGAACTCGAATTGTTCCCAAATCTCCATTTGCCACCTTGTGGAGAGGTAAAACCCTTGTGGGATCTTCTGAGGACTCTTTGCTAGTGGCATATGTGACAGGATGTGTGAGTACGTGAGGGGGATAGAGTGTCTGGGTATGGGGGCGGGAGGGTTGACTGGGGGATGGAGCAGATGGAGAGGGTGCAGGTGAAGCGGGAGCAGGCTGCAGAGAGTGTGATGGGCAAAAGGAAGGGCCATCTAAGACATCAGAATGGGGGAGGGAGGAAGTTCCTTAGAAGCATATATGACAATTTTTGTGTAATTTTGGGTTTTGGGATAAAGCCAAAAAGACTTGACCACATGGGACCTCTGCATCCTTTCTGAGATTCCAGCAAAATGAATCTAGTTGTAAAATAATATTCCAATCCAGGGCCCCATTAAGAGGCCAATATAAATTATTGGGGAGCATATATTGAACCCCAGATATATTACAAAAGAAAACCATATGCTTCTTTTTCAGAGTTTGTGAGTCAAAATGAGACCAGTTTTGAAGAATGCAATCCAAGGACGAGTAGACGGAATTGAAGAATGAATTGGATCCATGCTGGGTTCAGATCAGGTACTGTAAGATCCCCGAGGTGTCCCTAAGGGACTTGGACCTCGCCTCTTTGGCTCACTCTATTTGGGGGCATCCACCACAGATGGAGGGCCTGCCCTTGCCTGGATGACCACTCCAGGTATGCCCGTGTTTGAGTGGTCAGCTCAGACCTAAGGGGAAGGAGAACTCACCCGTAACTTGGGATGCGATTTCCGCTTGAAGTGGAATCCAAAAGTGGGTCTGCAACCAGTGGGGTGTGTCTGCGCAGAGTCGGGGTCACTGCCGCTCGTTTCCAAAGCATGGTTTACAGGGCATTAAGTGACAGTGGACTTGCCACCCCAAAGGGCAATAGTAAATTCGCTCTTTTGTCTTGGCCTTGGGGTAACACCAGGTAGCGCCCGTGGCCAGAAACCCTCAATTTCCAAAGAGTACTCAAGCTGGTTCCCTGGCGGTTTGAAAATAGAAAAGAACCCTGGCTAATTCCTCACCCCTAAGGGCAATGATGGAAAAATATCTCTTCTCTAGGGCTTCAGGATCCCACTGAAGAGTAGTCTTGGCCAGGGCCCTCAGTTCCCGAGTAAAGAACCAGACCATCAAGGGAAGCAGGGAGGGAAAAGAAGGGAGAGATCCCAGTAAAGTCCCGTATGCACAACCAAGGAGCCGGGCGAGGTGTTGGAGCCCCAGCATCGGGAAGTGGCCGACTCGCGGGCTGGTAAGAAGAATTTACCAATGACAGTATGGGTTTGGAAGAGGAAAGGTTTATTAGGAAGAAAGAATGCTGCAGAGGAGGGCAGTGGGTGCCTCTGCCGGGGGACTCGGCAGCACCGGGGATTTTCCTTAGGAGCATTTCTGGACCTCACGGTGGGAGCTGAAGGGTGATTTGCACGATAAGTGCTACATTTGTAGACATTCTGGTGCCTTAGTGACGGCAGGGGGTGCACACTGAGTTTCATCAGCCATGCATTCCAGAGATGTATAGAAATTCTAGTTACTTATAAATGTTAGGTTGAAAGGAGGCCTGGAACCAGGTGCCAACTTTAGACGATGGGGAAGTTTAATTACTTCTAAATTCCTCAAATGCGGAGCTTTGCCCCTGGATGGCCTGTCTGATGGTCACCAGGTGGTCTTTGCTGTCCTCAGCCAGCTCACAGGTTGCGAGCTGGCCTCTCTGCCATCAGTGCTCGCTCCTGTCTTTGCTCAGCTCCCCCTCACTCCCCAGGGAGTCATCCCAATTGTCCGATGTCCTCAGCTGCCATCAGGCCACTTGCCCCACCTGTCACATCATCTGTTGACTGCCTGTCCTCCCTGGGGCAGGACCCCCTGTATGCAGCAATGTGTGCCCGGCATGGCATGTGCGAGGGCACAGAAGGTCTGGTCACAGAGTTGGCTGACTGGTCCTGGAGGGTGGGTGGGCAGCCCTCGGAAAGCCAGGGAGGTGTGTGTGCTTTGTTCCAGGACGCAAGGTGTTGTTCGCTCGTCCTCTGTCAAGGTAACCAGGAGAAGCTGTTGCAACCACCAAGGGAGGGTGTTTCCTCAGGCCGAGAGCTTATTGGGAGCTTCGGAGCTACTGACGACAGCAAGCTGCAGGGCAGGTAACCGACCTCCGTCTTCCAGGAGTCCAGGGGATAAAGGTCACCTGGACAGGTGGCCAGGCCGTTCCAGCCAAGGCCGGCAGCAGCAGCGCCCTGGGCGTGGCCTCTCGCAGCTGTGAAATGGGAGCTGAGGGCACCAGCTGCTCAGCTCACCTGCCTTTCTGGGCCCTGGGGTGGGCCTGGGCTGGCAGGATGGGGTGTGAAGTCCAGGTCAGGAGCCGGGACTGGCCTGCCTTGCCCTCCTGGGCTGGACTGACCTGGGGTTGTCTTAGTTCCCCAGACGAAGTCACCAGCGGAACCAGCCGGCCTGCTACCTGACACACAAGGCCAAGAACTGAGTCTCTTTTAAAAATTTAACTTGTTTTGTCGTAATTGATATAAAATAATGCAAACAATTTCTTTGGGTCTGATGCCCGTCTCACTGAGGCAGGCAAGCCTGTCGCCCTTAGGTGCTCTAGGGAGATGATGTGTGGCCTGCCAGTCTCGTGGTGCTCTCGCCACTGCTGCCAGGCGTCCCCGCCGTGCACCATTTTAATTGAACCCCGGCTACACCAGCCTGTTGGGACATCCAGGCTGCAGGTGGCCTTCGGGGGCATTCGCCCTTTCACAGGCGGCAGCTGGGTTCCAAGAAAGGGGAGGATTGGTGTAAAACCCACCGCCTCAACTGGAGGGCGGGACCCCTGGGCCACGGGGCTTGTGCATGTAATGCAATGGTGCCTCGGGGGTGTCCAGCACAAGGTGCCCCCTCCAGGCCACGGCCTGAATGGCAGGACTTGGTTCTGGCACGTGAGGGTCCCGCCGAACGGATGCCACCCAGCGGCTCCTGATGATACGCCATGTCCTGGGGTAGCTGTTCTGGTGCCATGTCCTGGGGTAGCTGTTCTGGTGCCATGTCCTGGGGTAGCTCATCTGGTGCCATGTCCTGGGGAAGCTGTTTGGGTGCTGTACCCGGGTCTGGTGGGCCATGAGGGCTGCCACACATGCCTATGCCGTGACCTCATCCCTGGAACAACCCCTCCCATGCTGAGCCTGCTGCTGTGTCCCTGCTTGGCACAGGTGCCTGTGCCCAGGACTGGGTGTAAAACCAAGCCCTGTGTGGGCAGCCTGCCCGTGCTAGGCCGGGAGTCCAGCCGTGTGGAGGCAGGGCTGTCCCCGGACCGCTTGTCTGTGAAGTGGAGTAAAGTTCTCACCTGGGGTGACAGGGCAGATGTCAGGGGCCACGGGTGATCACAGTAACGAGGGTTGTGGCGGACAAATCCGGCTCTGCCTCTCCCACCTGGGCCAAGGCCGCCCTGATGCGCTGCCCCCTCCCCATGCGACCCCGGCCAGCCTGATGGTCCTCCCAGACAGGGGTGGGGGGCATGTGGCGCACCTTCCTGGGAGTCAGCACAGCCCCCTAAATGCTGGAGGACTCAGGAGCCAGGACATCGGGATTTCCAGGCGGCCTCCAGGGCCCCTTTCCCAGCCTCTGACTGTGGCGAGTTCTTGGCATTGGTGGGTGGGGTGGGGGCAGGAGGTGGGTGTAGAATCCGGCACTGCCTTCCTGGCGTTCACTCTGGGTTCCTAGAGGAGAGGAAGCCTTGGCCCCTCAAGACCTTCCCAAGCCCATGCCACAGAGATGTGAGCAGAGGCCCTGTGTGGGATTGGACAGGACAGGCCCGGCCCCCTTCCTGGAGGTGGCTGCAGGGGGCAGGACAGGTAGGGCCACCTCAGCCGTGTGACCCTGGCAGCTGTTTGTCCCACGGGGACCCCACGTCCTCATCTGCACGGCAGGGACACGCACTCGGGCAGCGAGGGCCATGGTGACTTGTGGGGAGAGGGGAGCTGCCCACTGCCGCAGTCTCTGGACTTTGCTCCTGGGCCCGCCACCTGGCCCCCAACAACCTAGCACCCCAATGCCAGGACAGCCCATCACCCTCTTCTCCCAAGTGACCGTAGAGTCCGAACCAGAAAGTGGAACAGCTGATGAAGAGGCTGCCCGGGCAGGTGTGGCCTCTGACTGTGAGGGGCTGGCCCCATCTGCCGCCCCTGCCCTGCCTTCATGAGGCCAGTGTTCTGGATACGGGGGAGCTCCGCTGGGGAAACAGCACCCCCCACACATCTCAGTGGTGAGCAGTGGGTGTGGGGTGCATTGCAGCTCCCGGAATATCCTGTCCTAGTCCTAACCCCTGTGAAAGTGGCCTTGTACCAGGGCCTTTGCTGATGTGATCAGGTAAAGGGCGTGCTGGATGAGGGTGGGCCCTAGCCTGGATGAGGTAGGAGGCCAGCAGCACTCATTCTCCGGACTGGACTGAAGACAGGCCAAAAGCAGCAAGCAGCACGGAGGACACCCTCTGGCCACCCTCACTGCCCATCAGCCAAAACACCCGCACCAGCACCAGGACAGTTTACAACGGCAAGGCCATGCCCGGAAGTCACGGTCCATTTCCATGGCAACAACTGGAAGTTACCGCCCATTTTCTAGCAATTTCTGAATAACCTGCCCCTTCATTTGTGTGCCATTAAAAGTGGGTATAAATACAGCTGCCAGTCACCCATGCAGCTCCCTGTCCACAGGTAGCCCCGCTCCACCAGAGCAGGCACGGAGCTGCGGCACTGCCACTGCCTCCCCGAAGCTGCTTTCTTTCACCACTGGCTCGCACTTGAATTCTTTCCTGAGCAAAGCCAGGAATCTCCCCTGCATCACAGTGACTGGTGTCCCTCTGAGAAAGGAGAAAGCTGGATTCAGGCACAGAGACAGACACATAGGGAGAAAGCCATGCAGCCAGAGACAGAGCGGGGCGGTGCGGCTGCGACAAGGAGCCCTGGGGCTGCTGGCAACCACCAGAACCTAGAGGAGGCCAGGAAGGACCCCCCAACCCTGGGAGGCTTCAGAGAGTGTGGCCCTGACAGCACCTTAATTTTGGACTTCTGGCTTCCAGAAATGAGAGAGAAAAGGTTTTTGTTGTTTTACATCACCCAGCCTGAGGTCGTTTGTGTTGCAGTCTCGGGAAGCTGAACAGCACATCCATGAACTCCTAATGCCTGAATTCACCGATGGCCTTTGTCATGATCTGTAAGAGCTGTCTGCCACAGAGTGCTGGCCACCGTCCCCACCAACTCCCATCTCTCCAGGGCCCTGCAGCTTCATGTTGGTCACGTGGCCTGTGCCCAGCTCCTCGAAGGGTCGCCAGAGTCTCATTCACACCCTTTCCTTGTTCTTTCCATTCTTAAGCCTCCTAATGTAGCAGGACGAGCTGCAGACAAAACTCCTCAGACACCAGATTAAAGAAGGAAGAGGTTTTTTATTCGGCCGGGAGCGTCGGCAGACTTGCGTCTTAAGAGCCGAGCTCTCCGAAAAAGAAATACTTGGCCTTTTTAAAGGCTTACAACTTTAAGGGGTCCACATGAAAGGGTCGTGATAAATCGAGCAAGCGTGGGAAACATGACTGGGGGCTACATGCATCAGCTAACAGAACAGAAAGTTTTACAATGCTTTTTTCATACAGTGTCTGGGATTTACAGATAACACAAGTAGTTTAGGTCAGAGGTTGATGTTATTATTAATACTTTTTTTTTTTTTTAACTCCTAGGGCTGGGTGGTGGTGCCAAGGTTGTCTGGCTATTTATCTTACTTTTGTTTCTTTCTCTCTTTCTTCCTGTCTTGTGAACAAGGCAAGGTGTGGGGGAGGAGGGCAGCAGGAGTAGGAGTGGTCTCCTTCCTTACTAAGACTTTTGAGACTTTGATCCAGCACATGCACACATGTGGGAACGATTCTTTGGCCACCCCAACCTGCAGAAAGACACAGTTCTGAGAAACAACTGGGCGCTGTGCGGAGCTCAGACCGTGGCAGGAACGGGCAGTGCATCATGGCCGCCCGTTGGGTGGCAGGAGGTGAGTGGCCACAGAGCAAGGCAGGCAGGTGCCCATGTGCAGCTCCAGCATGTGCCTGTAAAAACTTTTAAAACACTCTGCTCTTCATGGAAAAATGTAGAAACAGCCCCACGTGGCAGGGAAGGCACCAGCCCTGGGAACTCCTGCCGGTTCCGGCCTCCTGAGCCTGACCCTCAGTGAGGGCTCTCACCCCAGCTGGGACATGGCTGTTCCACAGAGGCCGGCACGGATGCCGTTGAGGAGAAGGGTGTCTGAGCAAGCTGGGTTCTCCTTTGTGCGTGGCCCACACTCACTCACGAGCCTCTCCACCTGGAATTCTGCCCTGTGGAGGGGGGATGTCCACGCCCACCCTGGCCTGCATTTCAGGGATTTTATGAGCATCAGAGGGCATAACACGCCATGGTGAAACCTGCCCAATTGTGCCATAGAACGGATGTTGATGATTTCTTTTAAATACACATAGAAATTGGCCCTCCCAGTCTTAAAACTTGAGAAAGCTACATTTGTCTTATCTGAGTTCCTTTCTCAGGAAACTGGCCCTCAGCCCTCCCAGGGAGTCTGAAGGAATGGAGACTCACCAGATCATGGCATCTAGACAAAGAGATGCCAGACCCTTCCCCCGTCATGGCTGCCTGTCCGGCCACCTGCTTCCTCCTGACCAACTCCTCTTCCTCACTCTCCCTCGTTCCTGTTTTCCTGCAGGTAGTTACATTTCTGCTCTGCAAACCTCTACTTGTAGTTGATCAGGGTGATGGATTTGAGGTCCATCTCCCACCTCCTTGGCTGCTGCTCCCCATTAAAGCCTCCTTATTGGCTTTCTGTGTGGCGAGCAGCAGGACCGAGACCAGACTCCTGGTGTTTCGGTAACAAGGGGACACTCGAGAAACTACAGCCGCAAATCAGCTCAGCCTCGATGCCGATGAGAAGCTGGTGGCCTTGCCCTTCTCAAGGGTTTTCCCAGGAAAATCAATTTGATGCCTACTTGAGATGCACTTTTTAAATTGATTTTTTTTACAATAAAAGTATTGTATGTTCATTGTAAATACTTTTAAAACATCAAAATACGTTGCTTAAAAAATTAAATGCCTTAAAAATGCCTTAATACCCTCTATACCCTCTATTTAGATGAGCCCAATTTTTTTTTTTTTTTTGAGATGGAGTCTCGCTCTGTTGCCTGGGCTGGAGTGCAGTGGTACAATCGCAGCTCACTGCAACCTCCGCCTCCCAGGTTCCAGCTATTCTCCTGCCTCAGCCTCCCAGGTAGCTGGGACTATAGGTGTGCACCACAATGCCCAGCTAATTTTGTATTTTTAGTAGAAATGGGGTTTCACCATGTTGGCCAGGCTGGTCTCGAACTTCTGACCTCGTGATCCACCTGCCTTGGCTTCCCAAATGTGCTGGGGTTACAGGCGCAAGCCACCACTCCCAGCCAAAGCCCACTTTTACAACGGTGGGGGTGCGTGTCAGTTTCTCATATTTATTTTGCTACATTTTGGTCCATATAACTGAAATCATTCAACACGCACTGGTATTTGAATGGAGTAAACACCAGAAGATTCTTGGGCCCCAGTGGAAGGTAACAGATAGGACAGATTGGTGCTGTGCAGCGTGTGGCCCTGGTGGATTTATCAGTGTCTACTATCCCACAAAATTTTTGAAAGAAACAACTGAAGTCATCTGATAGCACTTAAAGAGGCAGCATCGCTACCCGTGTGCATCAGGGTGATTTGGCCACAGCTTAAATCGAACGTTCTACCAAGGGTGAATCTCCTTTCTCTGGATCTGCTGGGTGCCAGGAGAGCAGTTTATCACCCTCGTGTAGGGAAGGGTGACAAGCAGGCTGGGGTGCTCCCTCGGCACTGGATTTTGGGGGTCCTCACCACCCTGGCGGATCAGAGGGGCCACTGCGCCTAAGCTGTGTGTGCAGACAAGCGGTTCCACTGGGCACCTGCTTTCCTCCCAGGGATCCGAGATCTGCAGGCATGCCAGGCAGAGGGTGCGGCATGACCAGCCCCAGAACAGCCCTGGTGCTGAGGCTGTGAGGCACTGAAGGGCTTCCATGGTTGGAACATGTCACACGCGTCACCATAACGCGGTGCTGGGGAATGACGTGCATCCCGTGGGCTGCACCTGGAGAGGATGCTGGGAGCTTGCGCCGGTTTCCTCCATGCTCTGCCCCGCGCCCTGCCCTGTGCTGACTGTGTGTGTGTGTCCTTTCCTGGTAAAAAATCAAAGGTCAGCAAGTCCTCCTGGAGAACTGTCAGCCTGGAGCCATGGCAAACCTGCACAGCCACCTGTTTCCACCTCAGGCAGTGGTGTGGTTTCCCTCCACACGGTTGATTCTCGTTAGAGCCACAGTCGCCGTCCTCTGTGCTGACAACCTTGTTCTCCCATCCCGGGAGAGTTCTGAGGTTTGATTCATTAATTCATGTTTTTGTTTGTTCACCATCATTTATTGATAATGTTCCCTGGATCAATCATAAGAGAATAAACGATCATGAATAAAACAGTGAGAAAACGCACAGGCTCACTGCTCCAAAGTGCCGGCCCAGGAGCGGGACCTGGGCAACCACGTGGTACGACCTCAGAGGAGAGGTGGCCACGGCAGGGAGTGAGCAGGAGGGAAAGGAAGACTTTCTGGTGGAAGCCACGTCTGAGCCAAGATCTGCCTGGGGAGAAGGGTTAATCTGGGCATGAAGGTGGGGCCCAGAGCGGCCAGGCCTGCCAGACAGCACCTGCAAGACCCCTGGGGGCAGGGGCACGTGCAGCCAGGATCAGAGGAAGGACAGTGTGGCCAGGGGCAGGCTGTAGGGTGGCCAGAGGGTGTGTGGGGGCCACAGGAAGGATTTGGGTTTATGCTGAGAGCCCCACGGAATCGTGGGAGGATGGACTCTACCTACAGCAATGGCAGATCACAGCACAGAGAGCCTGGAGGGTCTGCTCGGGAAGGCAGGCGCCAGCTGTGGCTGGGAGGTGTTTTGTACTGAATTGTGCCATCCAAAATGTGTGTGTTGAAGTCCTTCCCTCCAGTCCCTCAGGATGTGACCGTATTTGGAGATAAGGTCTTTAAAGAGGTAATTAAGGTTAAATGAGGCTGTTAGGATGGACCCTAATCCAACCCGACTGTGTCCTAATAAGTAGAGGAGATTAGGACACAAACACAGGGGAGATAGCCACGGGGAGACACAGGGAGAAGATGGCCATCTACAAGCCCAGGAGAAAGGCTTCTTCGGCTTAACCCCTTCACACCTCTGCCCCTCGTTCCTCAGCGTCTGTGCTCTAAACAGTCTGATCCTCCGCTGCTCCAGAAGCGGGTGGCCCTGCCACTCCCGGGCGGGCGAGGTGAGGATTACAGGGCACAGCAGGCAGAACGTGCGGGGCCTGCGGGTGTGCAAAGCACTCAGCACACAAAGCCGTGTTCAGCATGAGAGTTAAGCACAGGCAGCTTTTTGACCTGAGCATCCTCCCTGTGGGGTCCTGGCCAACGTCTGAGCCCCTGGGAGACCCCACAAAGCTCTGCCCAGATCAATGGCCCCGACACAGCAGCTCAGCTTGACATACACATCAGTAGGAAGCCCAGGGGATGGAGCTCCCAGTGGAGCAAGGACCAGCGCAAGGGGGACGGGTCTGGGGTCAGAGGTCACCACCCTGCCCGGGGAGCTGCCAGCCAGGGACTGCAGAGAGAAGGCGTAGGGACAATGTGCCGGTCTCCGAGGAAACAGTGACACCCAGCGGCCGACTGTGGCCCCACCGCAGGGCACACAGGGTTCTTGTTCTTCCTGAAGGCGCGAGTGACGGCTGGGATGTCCACGTGGGGCAGGAGGAACTGCAGAAAGGCCCAAAGAGGACCTGCATCTCCCACCCTGTCTCTGCCCGGAGCAAGCTCTGCCTGCGGTATGTGGGCACAGACTCTGCAGCCCGCCTGGGCCTGCAGCCTCAGGGAAGCCGCTGGACACTGACCCTGCCTTGGGACTCCCGACGGGCGAGCTCAGCCTCGGTGACGTGGCAGTGGCCTCTCGCAGCGCAGTCCGTGGGGCTGAGGATGGCGAGAGACAGTGACAGGTGACCTGGCTCTTAGGGAGGGACCCCGCGGGCCAGGGCCTGTGGGGGCTTCTCGATTTGCAGGAAACTCAGGGGACAGCGAGGGGAAGGATGCCGAGTCACGGAGGGACCCCAGTCCCTGGCCTCCGAGGTCCTGGGGTGGGAGCAGCCTGCACGTGGGGTGGATGCAGCGGGGAACGGCAGCAGGGGGCCAGGAGTTCAGACGTGACCTGAGGACGGTCAGGAGGCAGTCAGGTTTAAGCAGGCAGGGACTTGTTTGTGGGTTTGTTTTTCCACCTGAATGACTCAGAGGGTGCCCAGGTGGCTCTGACAGGGGCTCCAGTGGAAATGCCTGTGGGGTCTATGTGCCTCTTGCCTTCTGTAGCCCAGCCAGCCTGTCTTCATCTCCCCATCCAGCCTTGGTGCTCCCAGTGCCCTCTGACCCCCGTCTGCCACCATTCATCATCAACAAGCAGCGGATGGGGCTTTCTCACGCGGGGCTCAGGCCCCCAGACCAGCCTGACCACCCTCCCTGGCTGGGCCTGCCCTGGGCGGCGCCCACCGCCCTCCACTGCTCCTGCACTGTGTCTTCCCCACTGTGAGTGTGCTGCTCTGAAGGCCCCTAGGTTGGGCCTTCTGGTCATCCCCAGGGGCTTCCACAGCCCGGTTCCTGATGGCACTTGCCACGGGCCCTGTGCATTGGGGCTGCTTCTCGGCCTTCTTGACAAGCTCAGTGCCTGGCTCTGCCCTCAACCTGCGGCATGTCCCTGGGCAAACCCCATCCCTGGCCCAGCCTCCATTTCTCCTCAGGACAGTGGGTTGAACTGAAGCTCTGTAAGGTCTGTGGGGTGAGCCCTCTTGTTCCTCCCTCAGCTTGGGGTAACGGGGTGAATCTTCTGTGGGGCAGGAAGCCGAACCTCCTTGTGAGGGAGGAGGGAGCCTCCCACTGAAGCACACGTTCCAGCAGTCCCATTTTAAAATCTCTTCTAAGTAACGAGGATGTTCTCCAGTGTCACAGATGTGAGGACAGCGAAACTGTCGGTGCCAGCACTGGTCTCAACAGCCGGCAGCGTCCTGCCGTCCAGCTTCTTTTCTCAGGACCCCCTCCATATTACTCGTTTAATTTTGCTGAAGATTTAAAGCAAACCCCGACAATGTGTTCTTCCACCCAGATCTTCCAGTGCACACCTAAACAGATGGACCTTTTTCACACAGCCTCAATGCCATCGTCACACTTAAAAAAACTAATCACAATTCCTTCCTATTGTCTGGGAGCCTGGCCATAGACATGCTTGCCCAGTCATCTAAAACACATCTTTTTAAAGAATTGAGATGTAAACAAGGTCCCGTATCACATGCTGTGGGGCCCAGGACTCCAGCTTTCGTGTCAGTGGTGCTCCTCACCCTCTGATGCGGCTTGGTTGTGTCCCCACCCAAATCCCATCTTGAATTGTAATCCCCTTAATCTCCATTTTATATATATAGGGAGAGACTGGGTGGGAGGTGATTGGATCATGGGGGCAGTTTCCCCCATGCTGTTCTCGTGATAGTGAGTGAGTGCTCACGCGATCTGACGGTTTTATAAGGGGCTCATCACCCTTCGTTCCTCTCTCTTCTATCTCCTGCCGCCTAGTGAAGGACAAGTTTGCTTCTCCTTCTGCCATGATTATAAGTTTTCTGAGGCCTCCCCACCCATACATAACTGTGAGTCAATTAAATCTCTTTTCCTTTGTAAATTATCCAGTCTTGGGTATTCCTTTATAGCATTGAGAATGACTAATACACCCTTTAATGTGCAACAGTGCTGCTTAGCCTCTAACACACCGCGGTGCTCTCCACCCTTTAACGCACAACAATGTTCCCCACCCTCTAATACACAGTGGTGCTCCCCACCCTTTAATGGACAGCAGTGCTCCCCACCCTCTAGTTCCCCACCCTCTAACGCACAAGAGTGCTCCCCACCCTCTAACGCACAGTGGTGAGCCCCACCCTCTAACATATAACAGTTCTCCCCACCCTCTAACATATAATGGTTCTCCCCACCCTCTAACATATAACAGTTCTCCCCACCCTCTAACACACAGTAATGGTTCTCCCCACCCTCTAACGCACAACAGTGCTCCTCACACTCTAATGTACAATGGTGCTCCCCACCCTCTAAAGCACAGCAGTGCTCCCCACCCTCTAACGCACAGTAATGCTCTCCACCCTCTAGCACACAGCAGTGCTCCTCACCCTCTAACGCACAGTAATGCTCTCCACCCTCTAACACACAGCAGTGCTCCCCAACCTCTAGCACACAGCTGTGCTCCCCACCCTCTAAAGCACAGCAGTGCTCCCCACCCTCTAGCACACAGCAGTGCTCCCCACCCTCTAACGCACAGTAATGCTCCCACCCTCTAGCACACAGCAGTGCTCCTCACCCTCTAACGCACAGTAATGCTCTCCATCCTCTAACACACAGTAATGCTCCCCACCCTCTAGCACACAGCAGTGCTCCCACCTCTAAGCACAGCATGCTCCCCACCCCTAGCACAGCATGCTCCCCACCCTCTACCACATATGCTCTCCACCCTCTAACGCACAGCAGTGCTCCTCACACTCTAAGACAATGTGCTCCCACCCTCTAAGCACAGCAGTGCTCCCACCTCTAGCACACAGCAGTGCTCCCCACCCTCTACACCAGTGCTCCACTTAGCACAGCAGGTAATGCTCCCCACCCTCTAGCACACAGCAGTGCTCCCCACCCTCTAACACACAGTAATGCTCTCCACCCTCTAACGCACAGCAGTGCTCCCCACTCTAGCACATCTAGCACAGAGTGCTCCTCACCTCTAACACAAACTCTCACCTCGCACACAGCAGTGCTCCCACCTCTAACGCACAGTGCTCCCCACCCTCTAACGCACAGGTCACATGTGCTCCCCCCTCACACCATCCCCACCTCTAGCACACAGCAGTGCTCCCACCTCTAACGCACAGTAATGCTCTCCACCCTCTAACGCACAGCAGTGCTCCCCACCCTCTAACGCACAGTAATGCTCCCCACCCTCTAGCACACAGCAGTGCTCCTCACCCTCTACTACACAATGGAGCTCCTCACCTTCTAATGTACAACAGTGCTCCTCACCCTCTAATGTACAATGGTGCTTGTCACACTCTAATGCACAACCATGCTCCTCACCCTCTGACGCCTAATGGTGCACCTCACCCTCTAAAGCACAGTGGTGCTCCTCTCCCTCTAATGCCCAAAGGTGTTCCTCACCTCTAATATATAGCTGCAGTCTTCATACTTTAATGGGAGCAAATGTCCATGGGGCACTGCATCAAAATGCCCATTTTTATGGATATTTCTTGATTACATGCTAAACAAAGGGTAGATTATTCATGCCTCCCCTTTTTAGACCATGTAGGGTAACTTTCTGATATTGCCATGGCATTTGTAAACTGTCATGGTACTGGTGGGAGTGTAGCAGTGAGG